CAAATGCCACCGATCCGTCCCTCCTCTCACCCACGATTACGCAATGAGAAGCGAAATTTTCGCGAACGTGCCGCGTGTATGCAATACCTTCCTAGAGACCTTCAAAATGATGAAGTTCGTACTACGTCACCGACAATTTGTGGCATATGGTTCGTGGCATGCGTGCGGGTGACGGCTGATAGAGCGAGAAGGCGGCGGGCGGGGGTGGTAGAGCGCGAGCGCGATAGAGCGAGAGGGATTGCTTCGTCATTTAATTTTAGCACGATTGCAGCCAATGGCTGCTCGCAGGGGCCCTGGGTGGCTCGTCGTGGCCCAGGGAGTCGCTTGCAATATCGATCCGGACTTTACGCACCTAAAGCGCACCTTCTTCCTCATATAAAAGGAAACTCACTCGCTCGAGACCGAAAGAGAGAGAGGAGGGGGGGGGGAACAAGAGAGCGAGCCCCCTTGTTCCGGCCGCGTCTCCGCCATCACCTCGATCTCTTTTTACACGCGAATGCCCGTACAGAGAAATTATTCGCTCGCCGCTTAAGTTGAGCGGTCACCTGCCCCACTCCCCCGCACCAACTAATAAATAGAACGTAACACAAAGTGCGAAGCGCTCTCACATTCGCCCGGATAAGAAACGGGAGCACCCGCGAAAATTAGATTGAACTTCTTTGCATTCCTCCTTCTTACCGCGCATGCTGATCAGCGCTGTACGCACCGTGAGAATCGCGAAATGCGTTTTGCTACTTCGCGCTCTTTTCGCATCGTCACGCGCCGGATTGCTCCTGTTTCTCTGTCACCGAAATCACATTTGCCGAGTTTTAGCGTTTCTAATTCTTTTAATCGCAGCCAGATATATTATTCGTCAATCTCGTGCAGCTATGAAAATTCTTATTATATCATTTTCTGCTTGTAAAAAAAAAAGACATGTTGACCCGCTGTCCCGTATCTTCCCCGTATACATTTTGTACATGCGACATGAGAGAAAAGGCGTCCCGAGAATATTTTTACTTCACTCAGTGGGATGAATTTTTGCCGGCGTGTATATAGCAGGCCGTCGATAAATACGCGGCATTTAATATAACAGCGATATAGACATCCTTCGTGTGTTATGTCACCCGCCCGACAAGCTACGCGCACCGCTGATTATCTAATTATAGTTCTACTCACGTTGAGAAGCGTCCGGATGATCTGCTCCGATATAGTGATCCCTCCTCGGCGTGAGAGCACACCCGGAGGGACGGCGATGTCCAGCGAAAGCCTGGGAAACTCGATCATGACGAGGGGCCATGAATGTCTCCGTCTAATAGTTTTCCTTGAAATAAACAAATACACGGGTCAAATTCAGCGTTGCAATACATATATATATATATATAATTTAATCTCGTTGTCTATAATTCTTATTTTCTTCAGAATATTTGTCTTCTAAACGTAATAATCTTGTATAATTTTAATTATATTCTGTCTTTGTCAATTACACTTTGCGCCGAAGCTTTAATTAATTAATTCTAAAATTCGAAATTTCTACCAAAGTCCATCAACTGTAGCAAACACGATTCTGCTATCTATTTGTTCTTCTTAAGTAAGTTCTTCTAAACTTAGTTTGCCGTAGAAATTCCTTATTTTTAGTCATTAGTTATTCGCAAATTATAAATATCTCAACATCTTCCTTGAAGAAAAAAATCGATTTTACATTGATAAAAAATACTGTAGTAAAAGGAACATCTGACGGTTGTAAAAGATGAAATAGGTATATAGATGAAACCATCCAAAATGCTGCTTTTTTATTGTCATAATGAATAATTGTCATAAATAATTATGTCCACAGCATTAAAATTGAAACTTTGATAAAAATTACAAAGATTGACACAAATTAATATAAACTGTAATAACTCTGTATATGAGATATCGCACAATAGATATTCATATAATATTATCCCTTGCAAAATTTAACTTCTCGTCTGGTCTGACGAAAATGTCGAAATACTAATAATTTAAAAATTCGAAATCATAAACTCCTATGTAACATATTGCTCTTCTTTACTCCGTACATACATATTTTTATTTTAAAGAAGCAATTTTTATATTACTTATGTGTATTTTCTCTGATGCGCAACATCGATGGCGTAGTATCGTTTCGTTTTTCTTTGATGTTAATGCACGACAACAACGTCAAAGAAAATTGCCGTAAAAACAATTAGCGTGATGCGAGACAATGGAGTCGAACCGACAGTCTCCGAGCGGTAAAGGAGCAAAGGGTTAACTGTACTCCGTTCACGTTAGCGAACTGACAATAAAACGAAGTGCGCAACAAGGCACGCGTATTATTGGATAGATTTATACGTGCATATCGAACTCGGTCAATATTGTCGAGGCGATAACGGATATCCTGATTATTCCATGCGTATATATATCTCTCTCTCTCTCTCCTCATGTCATCAAAGATACACAATATATGTATATACTATGATATCTAGTTATAGATATTTCATTGGCCGAGAAACCAGTTCTGTGTTTCATGTCCAAATCAATCATATGTTCTATATCTGAATCCATCATTTATTCTTTGGCATTTGAAAAATTGTTCGGTCTTTAACATAATGCCGACAGTTATGTCAGATTTTGCTAATAAATTATTTTATGTCATTCGTGACAATGACAATATTATTTCTTAATTGATCGACGAAGCCAGAGATAATATTTTGTGACCCCCTATATAATAATAATTATTAAACTCGTTACACTAATTTCAACTTTTAATTTTCTTATAAATTTGTGAAAATTATTCAAAACAAAAAAATTATGTATAAAAATGTTTCATGTAACTTACAATAGGATACCGTGACTGTTTTACAAAAGAATGATCAAACGAGACAGTAATATCCAAACAATACAATCTCAGCTTCTTTCAGATACGAAAATAATCTTTAATTACACCTAACATTGAAGATTACTCGACTAAATCTTCAATAAAAAAAAAATAATTTAAAATGAAAAGGGTCAACTGATACACCGTCATATAGAGATTAATTATTTGTAAACTTATACCGAATCAATCTATGTGTACGAGAATTGTAATAGAATATCCAATATCTTGACAGAATTTGAGTAAGCGAAATAAACAAAGTAAATAGACGCATCTCGAAGTACGTGTCGTGCAGATTGCAATACGCGCTAGAATGTTTTACGAATGTTTTACGCTCACCGAGTTCGTATCTTATCGCAATCACCCTACCAACAAACCAAGCGCGATTTTCAATTCGTCCCGGACGGAGATTCTTAATCAGATTTATGCGCAACACGGCAAATTCATTGTCGTTTATGTTGACGTTACTCAGATTGTTAACGTGCCATTGAAATATGTACAATCGAGTTCGTGAAAAGTGTCCAGAACACTTCAACTGTGATATTTAAGAGGCATATCTTTTAACTACACTTAGTGATGTAGTTTAATTGTTTTATCCTTGCAAAAAAGCAAAAAAAATCTACAAGTTGCGTGTTTTGAAATATCCTTATGAATATAAACGCACCGGATACAATTAATGCATTAGATTATACGTACGATACGCAATACAGTGAGAGCTAGAATGATAATATTTTTGAGATTTTGCAGATAATCTTTATGAATTTATGTCCACATAAACCAAACATGAAAAAAGTAGATACTAAAATTTTGAATATATAAATATATAAATTTATCTGTCAAAATACGAATATTATCAGTGTATCATGCTAAAATTTTAATATCTATTAAAACATCTATTAAAACAGTAATGTTTCTACATTGCCTTCTGTGTACAAAATAAAATTCGTTACGTTGTAAAATGATGTATTAACTACACGTTTATGCGGCGAAGCATCCTTTTTTATATGCGTGTCGATGCGTCGCTCTGAATCTTTCTCACCTTGGCCGTAATACATTTATCTTTGATTCGCGTATGTGTGCGCTCCTAAGATTATCGTTACACTCAGCATCGAACGTCGTTCCCACATTAACTCGACACAATTACTCGATTATGATACTTGTGTTGAGGCCTGTGTATGCCGCGGGGCTTTATTTACCAGCAGTATTCGTTTGAAGGAGCCCCGAGCAAAGTGTGCCAGCGCGCTCTGTTTAGCGCGTCGAACTTAGCTTACGACAGATGATGCGTGTATCGTGCTAGATTGCAAGCGAACTAGTTACTTATTAGACACGCGTGCGTTTCTGGTAATCTATCAGTATGCAATTTAGATGAAGAAAATGTAACGTAATACACCTTACCATAACTTTAGACACCTCGATCGCCATTTTCTATCCTATTCATCCTGAGTCTGTCTTGAATCTATCTGTTGAATGTCCATCTCACGTTTCTATGCTTCATACAGCGCCATCTCTTGTTTGCGTTAGAAATTATTAATACAATGTTATAATTTATCAATCAACAGCATTCAAATCATAATGTGTTATTACAATAATGATGTTCAGAGTGAGGCGAACGACGATTGTTTTGATAGTCACGTGGAGACACAGATACGTGCACAATTAGTATAACTACGTTTGGACAATACAATTCCGACAAACTCAGGTTTCTGTATGCTGCATGTGTAAAGGAAAAGTACGCTGTGTACTTGTAGCGCTTCAAAAATAAGAATCTGTACTTACTGTAATTGTGTACGTCTGAAATGCAATCGCTAGATGATTGACGAATCACCGTTATTCGCGAATATTCCCGATAAATAATACGTTCCGGTAATTGTCTGTCATTCCATTGGGCATCTATGACAAAAATTCGCACTTGTTACGCACTTTTAACGAGTAAAATACGCGTTTAATCGCGGAGCGCTTGCGCTTTGCGCTCCAAGTTGACGCAACACAATAAACAACTAACATGGCGGTCGAAGGAGAGTGATTAGTATTGAATACATTAATGATCGATAACAACGCTATCTACTTTACTGGCGTAGATATATCGATGATCGATATCGATGCTATTTGCGCCATCTACGGTCATCTTGAATCCTCTGCCATTACAGTTTCTACATCAAGTTGGATGCAGAGCGCGAAAGCTCCGGATCAATCGTCTATTTTACCAGATAAAAATGCATAACAAAGGTAAATATTTATTAGGTATGTCTATTTAAGTGACAGGCAATTGCCAGAACGTATTATTTACCGTGAATGTTCGCGACTGACTGTGACTGAAGCGGATGAATTCAATTGTCCACAGATTGCACTGCCGCAACAAGCTGCTGAACACAAGGCGCCTTTTTCATTAGATGTAGCATGTCAAAAATTCGATAATTCAAATTATCAATGTCACCGATACAACTTCGGTGAGTACAAATTGTTACACTATTAACATACTTTGAGCAGTATATTTACTTTTATTAAATATAGCATGTCAAAAATTCAACTTGTTGGAATTAAATTGGATGATTGCTAAATAATTTTCGTGTCATTCGCTCTTAAAATGTCTGTTTAAGATAGATTAAATATATGAATTAAAATTATATATAGATAAATATTCACGGCATAAAATATTCTAAAACATGCTGCTTTGTGCAAAATTGCTTGCCCATGCAATAAATTTTGGTGCAATTAATATTTTAACGCGATTTAACCAGCGTTTTATGCCAAATTTATTTGTTAATAGCACAATTGATATCTATTTGAAAAGATTTAGAAAATATAATAACGCGCAAAATTTGATACAACTGTAATGTGAATTTACTTTTGTATTTTATAGATCAACATATTTTCGTGACTGACTACCATCAATAATTCTGATTGTGAGAGGAAGAAGAAGGAGCCGGCTTAAGAAGAGTACTAGACAACAACTATGATTGTGAGAGGAAAGAGAATAGGTTGATCAGGAAGAGTATTGGATGCTGGTGAGTAACTTACAAATATGGAGGTATTTGTCGTTTATTTACTATTTAAAAATTAAATTGTTTCAATAATAACACATTAAAATTATCAAATTTCTTGAAAATATTGATTTATAATAATTAATAGTTCTTACGTATATAATTACAGTAAGTACAGATTTTTATTTTTTTTTATTGATATCAGTATAAACATGCATAAGAATATTTATAAATGATGATATGTTTGAAACAATTTATTTTATAAAAAAAGGTACTAGCCTACTCATACATCTGTGGTCCCATGGCTTAATTTATTCCATGGTTGAGCACGGAAATTCAAAATTCGTGGTCCCATCGATGATGGTTGAGCACAGATCTTGCAAGAACATTGATACGATCGATTATTGAATGTTGATCGACTATTAACATAAATTTTGGATGCTAATAGCGGTAACTGAGCGGAGCTCTGCGCTAAGCATCAACTCGTGACAAATTCCCAAATGTTTCCCTCTTTCGCGAAAAACGGTTTTTCTTTCGGATTTCTCTCTGCTGAGAGATATAATTTGGGCACATGCGAAAATATTTTTATCAAATCTTATCAATTTATTTAATTTCTGCAAACTTTTGAGGTATAAAATTTACTATTAGGTATTAGAATTATTAGGTAGGATTTTTATTAGGTGGAATTTTTTATTAAATAGGGTTTCCTATTAGGTAAATTTTTTCGTTTAGGTAGGATCGAAAATTTTGTTTCACTTTTCAATATACAGATAGGCACATTGACACAAAAAAAAATCAAAAAACGATATATCTTTATAGTATCAAGAATTTTTTAATAATCAATATTGTCGGATATATAATACATAATATATATTTATATATTAATTAAGATAGTATGGACACAACGCATAATTGGCGCAGCGAGGTTACAAAGAAACCTTTGTTCCTTAACTTTATGTCATCGAGAGAATAGCGGTTGTTACTATTACAGCTATTATTAGTATTAACGTTAGAACTTTTACTATTCCGCTTTCTCCCTCTCTCTTTTTCTGCAGGAGAATTGCTTTCCCCAAGAGGCTTTTTTTAGACAATTTTCGTGTGTATCGCAACAATTTTTTTCTTACAATTAGTATCTTTTACATCACTATCACCACCGTGAGCGTTTTCTATTTCTTTCAATCTTTTTCTCTACGTGCGCATTTCTCGCTCATAGTCTTTCTCTCTCTCTCTCTCTTCTCTCTCTCTCTCTCTCTCTCTCTCTCTCTCTTTCTCTCACGCCTTCTTTTTCTATCTCTCACTGCATGTATTTATCACTCGTTCCTATAACAGCGTATTACGCTAATTATTCTAATCCCTGATATATAACGTGAACATCGTTAGTAAAAAAAGCATTATCAGATAAAAATATGCATGAATTTGAATCATAAGAACACTAAGAAATAGCGATTACTACGTTACAACAACAACGTTGTGCGTTAAACAAAATTAAATAATGTATTGCATAACGATATTGCATGTAGAAAAACATTGCGCGATAACGAGTATTTTTAACGAGTATTGTAAGAAAACAATTATTTAAAAAAATAATTTTGTTGAATCAAAGCTCAACTTATTATGAAAATTTAGAGTTTGCTTAAAATTTGCCAATATTAAATTTTAACATACACTTTATTATTCGATGCCTTACGCACATTAGCACTATCGTCAACGTTATACATTTTATTGCTCTGACGTTAATTTCGTGTCTTAGAACATAAGTTAGATAAAATAAGCTCTCTTTATTTATTTTTACAGTATACTGTTTCTAAAAATCAATATCAAGTACATAATAACTCTTTATGTGTCTGTCAATTATTTAATAACTATCAGTTGCATCAGTTGGGTAAAAATTACAGACATTTGTAAAATTAAATTTATAAATCTTATATTTTACGTTTCCTTATATTAGCGCTTTATGATGACATAATTCGCACCTTGCTTTTATGTTATTTTACATATAAAACTTTCTACTCGATTATAGCAATCTCGACAAGGTGAAACAAGCGTATTATCGAAACACCTTGGTATTGTAAAATAATTTGTCTTACTACATTTTTTGACGCTTCTATGTTTTTTTTTTTACAATTGTTTTGTTCCTCTTGTTTCGCAAATACGTCTTGCAATACTACGCAGCATACAGCCTATTTGCTGAATAAATATTTATAATGAATATTCAATATATATAATAATAACTACAACAAGAACAATGTTATCTTTATTATTTTCATCTTTGTTGTTGTTATTATTATTTTTTTATTATTATTATAATATGATGTTTAATTTAAGCAACGTGTAAAATACTCCCATACGAGCTTTACAACCAAATATACATAGCATTCAGTGCTATTAGGATAGGAAAAATTTGACTATTCTTCACATATTAAAAATTAAAATTTTTTGGATAATTGGTAATATATTGTTCAATTCTCATTTCAATAAACAAAGAGGTGCTCAGTATGTATTAGACCAATTTCAAATAAGTATTACTAATCGTTTAACTACCGCTTCTTTAACTTTCCATATCGAGCGTATTTCTTCTGTTAGCTGTGCGTATTCATTCATTTTGGTAACATATCCTTGTAGCAGGAATATATTAAACTCCTGTCTGTTCTTATCATTCTGTTAGTTTGCAATGAACAGTTTCAGTACGATCTATAGTGCTTAGTTTTTTTTAATACTTCCTATGTTTTTGTGTGTAATTAAGAATAGACTTTTCAGGTTAACTCTTAGAGTCTGGTATAATTTTGCTTACATTATTACAGCTGCGTGTCCACACGATTTGCTAGTGAAATATGCGTCTCAGTAATACGTCTTTGACTCAATTTGGCTTTCGACATTTTTATCATTCATCTAATTTCTTATAATGTATTCCTGGTAAATTTTGGTATTTTTTACTTTATTCTAAATTGTGTCATTAAATTTTTCTTTTTTGATTTACAAAATTTTTCTTGCTTTGAGCAGACTTTGATTAGTCAGATTGGATGCAGATCTGTCTGTATTGACTGTTATTCCTTTTTTGTTATTGTTAACATTATGAACTTTACTAATATTATTGGTGCCATTATATTATATTCTTATCCAATCACTACATATTATTATAATATATATTTTACATGATGTTATATTCCTTATTCTCTATATTAATCCTCGTGACTTAATCTTGTACGCGCTGCTCATTACTATCATTATAAATTATAACTATTGTTATCATCCGTTTGAAAGAACGTTGCGACGGTTTAATTAACAAGCTTTTCACGCTATTTCCGCTTCTCATACCGCGCAATGTTTTCTTTTTAAGAAGACATTCTATCGCTGTCGTATTGAGCATTTTTCTCATTTGCTTGCTTATGAAGATGATAATGTTACGTACAACACCAAAATTTTACTGCCACTTTCAATGGATTTTGATTTTTATCTTTTATATATAAATAGCTAAAATTTTGTAATTGGTAATAGCATTATCATTGTAAGCAATACAAATAAGATAGCATTTTCGTATGGCAGCGTTGTATAACTCTTGTTAATGCCTTTACTATTTATTTCATCCGTTTCATTTCTACATTAAAATAAAGCATAAGCGTCAACCGTTTATATCCGTATAATTTTTTAGGCACGACCAAAGAGATTTTTGCGCATTTTAACATCGTAAGAAAATTAAGTTGCTTATTTTTCCAAAATTGAAATATCAAAAAGTCTGCATGTTTTACATGAAGACTGGAAAGTGCATATAAGGATATAACGGAATGGAGGACAATTATATCGGCAGGATAAAACCTGAGACATAGAAAAAATTTTATATATAAACATTTTTTGGCGCACACATACATATGTATACACAGGCACGCGTATATACCTAACGTTATCCTCAGTCTTCAATATGGCCCATTGTTAGTTCTCTTTGTCTCAGGTTTCAGATTTTTTGGCTCTAACAAATATTTTGCATTTTGATTTATTAATAAGTTTTTTTTTTTAAATAAAAATACGAAAAAAATTCAATATTTTGATATCAATTATTTTATCAATTTTGGTATAAATTGCGTTCTATTATTTTGTCATAAATTTTGCGTGCTCTTCAACGCTAAATAGATAAATATTGCGTTATTGTGCTTTTACATCTACAATGTGCGTGTATACATATGTATGAGTGTAGTAACAAATCAACTATCTTCTCATCTTCTAAAGTGCAATAATAAACAAAGATTTCAATTTTTTTTTACGATTTTCTGGTATTTATATTTCAAACGGCGATCATTGAAAATATTCGAATCTTTAGATCTTCTATTGTCTCTTTCTGCTCTTTATGTTTTTCTTGAAATATATCTTACAGATTTGCGCTCTATATGAAACGGCTCTAAATCTTAAGCTATCGTATTTGCGCTTCTTCTCATAATGCGTGAGTGGCTCGGGATAACAATATTCAGAATCGACTTATCAAATTTTCGCTTGTTCGATTTTTTTTCACATCAATAATTCATACGTATTTCTACGTTATCTTTGCATATTAAAGTTATCCAAAATTACATTTTAGTTTGACAAAATTAAAATTTGCCATATTAGAATAAATTTTATTTTATACGGAAGCAGATATCTAGAACCAGCTTTTTATAACTTCGCATCCACCCTACAGCAGCTGAGATGCAAACAATTTAATGCACGTTCGGTTGAAGGCAACTTGTACACTACATAAAATGTTTTTAGAAAGAGATATTCTGATCGTTATAAATTATATAGTTAATATATTATTTTTATTAGACATAAATTATTATAAGATAGATTAGCGATATTTTCTTTTGAGAAAAACATCATAAATATAAAAACTAATAATTATAAGATCACTATAAATTTAAATTATGTTCCTCACATAATATATAAACTTATATAAAATACTTCCAAAATACATTTTTTTTCAAGTATTAGTCATCGTATTGACCGTGCCATTAATCAACCCTTATTTAATTATTTATGCAATTGTATCACATT